AAATTCGTCTAAGTAGAATATGATCGGGTTTAGGTAACCAAGGCATAAGGGCCATGGTAATAACCCGCGGCAGGAAACTAAATCATCAGTGAGTACGATGATGATTTAATCTTAATAGCTTTGTCTCCAACCTCCAGTTGTCGCACTACGCTAACAGGATGCAAGATAAATGAGTGAAATGGAGCCAAACGTCGAAAAGAAAAGAACAACCAGAGATCTTTGACATCGACAGTCAGCCAGCCGCTTGATAATCACTGCCTTCCTCATCTTCGCTCTTTTCCTGACCATGTTCTCCCTGTCACTCTCTACCATATCGACTGTATTTTGGGAAGGTCGATCCTTCCACTTCGGAGTGAGACCAGTATTTCTTGTTGGAAGTTGGACGATCTCCATGCTATGGGTGTTGGGACCTTAATATCCTTACCAACAGCCAACAAAGCTGCACTTTTGGGAAACACATTCGCCAGCGGCCCTTCGACGACAACCCTTGTGCTTGCGTAATGTCATGTCTATGCAATTGGATAAATAGCCCAATCTTTCATCGCTATCCATCGATACCGTACACATTTCCTCCCATCATTCAAGGATGTCGAGATACTGTTTGAAGTTTCTAGAGCTACGAATGACAAGAGCCATAATCTGGCCAACAAACTTGGGCAGCTTAAGTTCTTCTTAAGGCTGAAACTCATAGCGGCACTCCCGATTAGCACAACTTTCCTAAGGGGGACAAGATGCCGAGTAATGAAGCTCTGTTCCGTGGCTTTACTAAGTTTACTATCTATCTTTCTTCTCAAAAGCTGACAACAACCAACAGGGCATTGTCGGGAAACAAAGGACGCCGCAGAGTTTCGACATAACTCAACTTTACTACGGCTAAGGGTGGAGTCGCTAGATGAACATAAAGGGCCGATAGTATTCCTGACAAAGCAACACCATCGACCTAGGAGATGAGGGAAGAATCTCTGGGCAGACCCTTCTGTATCAGTACAAAAAGAGTCCAATGTACGCTTCGCGAGGCCAAAGCGACAAGTACAAGTCCTATCTTGGAAGGCTGGACTGACGAATGACCTATAAGTGGCCGTAGTATTTGAAAATCTAACCGTCAGTGTCACCATCGCTCCTACGCCAATGAGGTAAAGATAAAGGACAAACCCCAGAATCCTTTCTAACCTTGAACCAGCTGGCTGAATCATGTGGCGGCGTGCCCTCCTGCGCATCCATGACGAACTTCGAGACCCCAGATCTTAACATGCTAACTCTCTACCGCAGGGACTTGAAGCGGCGAACGTGTCTGCGACGATACTGTTAGTTCTCATGAGTTAGGGACCCACGAAGAGGCCAGCCCGCACCCAGGAAGTCTGTTGTCTCAAAACCTTCAAATGCCAAGTAGGCATTGACTATCGACAAAGAGCTGGAAGCTACAACTGACAGGTCAAGACTGGAAAAGTGAATAAAACCATAAATCCAGCAGGTACCCTTATTTTTGATTCATGACATAATAATCAGTCATGTCATAAAACCATAAGGAGCCCATGGTCTCAGCAACACTCGCTCGCATATATATAGATTACGCTCCTTTTAAGACATTTCGCTTGATATAGAAATATCCAAATCTTAGTAAAAGTTATGTAGTACTAACTAGGGCCTTTTCAGTTATTTTAAAACTTTCTAGGCTAGCTTGGCCAGTCTCCAAATCTTCAGAGGTCAGGACATAAGATGTGCCTCTTTTCTTTTTTCTTTTTTTTTTTTTTTTTTTTTTTTTTTTTTTTT